AAATTAGTTAATTAATTCGATATTGCATAAAGTAAATACATACATGAATCCAGTTAATATTTCCATCAGCAGTTACCCCGTTCTTCTACTTTCGTTTTCAAACGATTAAATATTGTTTCAAACATTGTAATAAATACATATTTCTCTAATGTGAGGTTAATTGTCATTGAATATTATCAATGATTTAGTAAATATTGTTGTAAATCAAATTTAGTTTAACTTGTACTATATATATATCACTTAATAATATACTTTTAAAACTATATAAATATTTTAGATTATAACTAATTATGTATAACTAATATTAACTGTAGTACGTGAAATGGTACAATGCAAATAACTTCAAATGTCAAACAAACTTTGTTGCAACGAAACACTACAACAAAGTATTATTTATAACTTTAATTAAATACACCGCATATATACTTAATAAAACGTAACTTATTAAAAAAAGACTAGACTGTAATATGTTTTCAGTTGCAAATGTGAGTTGTATTTAGCGCGCCGTTACACATATGTTATGTGATAAAACATAGTGCCTCGGCATATCGAGTGATGTTGATTACTTTTCTCTGATATTGGTTGATGCTTCACAGCTAAACTGTGCTGCCCTCACAGTTTTAAATAAAGAGAGGAAATAGCGAGTGAGCAAGCCAGCACGACATCAGCATAAACCATATGAAATAAGTCGCACCGACAACCAATGTAGCTTGTCTCACTTTACCGTGAGGCAGAAAAGCCCATGAGAAACCTCATATGCTATCCGGTCTACTCTGATTTTCATCCGTGCTTCTACATAAAAAATAATCTGTGCTTCTATTGTCGAAACTGTAGCGCGATTATGTATTTACTCACGTATTGTGCCACTACAGAATGGAGTTAGGATACTTTGATTGCAGTGATGACAATAAAAGACTTTAAACCGCAAAATCACAGGCAAAATACTTACATAATTAAAGCAAAGGATACTGCATCAATAGCTGCAATTGCAATCATCAACGCAACAAAGTGTGGTATACATATATAGATTATAACCACATGGTCCGACGTGTGTTTATATACAATCGAGCGATTCACGATTTTATATTTTACATTTTTTAAATAATAATATAGCATATTTTCCAGAGTAAGTTCCATTAGTAACCATTACACAATTTTGTATATATAAATTTGTCTTTATTTTATACGTATAAATAAATTTATTTCAGATGGATGACAAAGATCCAACCAGTGTGATCAAAATGATTAAGGATTTAAGATCAGCTTCAGAGTCCTATCGGAAAAGCAGTAGTGGTCTGCCATTACGAATGTCAGGAACTTCATTCTTGTCCCTTGGTGACTACGATGCTTGTACTAACTCACCGAAGAGACCTAAACTTGATGATTCTGTTAATTCTGTTTCAAATAAGAGTGAAACCGAAAATGTTCCAAGCAGTCCTTGGGAATGGAGACGGCTGAAAGGAGAGGTAATATATATATGTATATATTTATTTCATTTTGGTCTCGTAGCTCAAAAATGGACTTGGTTTTCTACACATTCTACACATTTTCTACACAATTTCTACACATTCCTTGACATATTCTCATACTCTCTATACAAAGACTCATCCTTCTGCACAATCTTAATCTATCCTAATTTATTCTATCTAGTTTCTATTGCATACTTCCTTCCTTTTTCTATAGCTTCCTTTGGGTTTCTTTTACATCTCTAAGTCATTCAGGCACTTTACTGCCAATATTTCCTTCAAGATATCTATCTTTTCTTCGTGTTTTGTCATCCTGATCCCTGCTTTAATTTTTAGCTTTTCCTTCTTCACCTCTTCCAGCATGATGTAGTCCGGGGTCCATCTATCCAATTTTAGACACTACTTTATATATTTAATTTGGATTGTGGGAGAGGTAATATATATATTTCCGTTAATACATTAATTACTGCATTAAACACTATTTTAAAACCTATATGTTCAAGAAAATAATCTTTATTTTCCAGGTATTATCATTAAAAACAAGACTTTCTCATCAAGAATCGGCCGTGCAGCAGCTGCACAAAATACGTCGACAAATGGAGGAGGTCTTTGAGAAAGAGAAAGGTATTTTAGAGATGCAGGTGGAGCAGGAAAAACAAACTGTCAGACAGCTAGAAGTACGGCTTGATATTGCACGCAGAACGAACCAGGAATCACGCGACGCTCAGGCTGCCGCGGAAAAAGAACTATTTCAGGTTTAGAAAACACCAACTACTTTTGATTGCGTTGATGTAATGATTTTTCATAGAAGATGTCTATTTCGCAGGTGAAAACAAGTTTGGAGCAAAAGATGATGGTGTTGATGAACGAAAACGCAAAATTAAAAGATGAGTTTAATCAGTCTTCATCACAAGAGACTTCTTCGGTGTCGAAAGATGTTAATGAGAATTCGGATTCCCAATATAAATTGGAAGCAGCTCAAACAAGAATATCCCAGTTAGAGGAGAAGTTGAAAGAATACCAGACCAAGCAGCAGGAACTGGAATTGCAGAACGTAGAGCTTCAAAGCATGAAGATTAAGAATGAGAAGCTCGAGTCTGAGAAGGCGCTATGGGAGGAAGGAAAGATACTAACAGCGAGAGCAGCGAAAGCGAGCGAGTTGGAGAAAGAACTTAGCGTAGCCAAGGAGACCATTGCCACACTAAGAGAATCCGTTAGAGGAAAATTGCTTTTAGAGGAACAAATGGCAAGCGTGATGAAAAGGTATTGCTCTAAACCTCGTTCCTACTATTTTTATAAGGACTATTATGTTAATCAATGTTTTTACGATTCCATAGACTAGATCATACTGAGAAAGTAGAGCAGCAAGTAGCAATGTTAGAAGCTAAGAAAAGTGAACTGTCTTTGCGCCTGTCCGAATACGAATCGATTGGAATCACTGGTGGGCCGTCTGCGTTAAAACGTGAATTAAATCGTTTGCAACAAGCCGAATTGGTTTTAAAATCGGAAGAAGGTCAGCTGAAGTCGCGATTGGACGCCGCTTTACGGGAAAATCACAGTCTACAGAAGATTTACGAGGAATCCAAGAAATTGGCCACGGACGTAACGGCTTCGAAAGAGAGATTGAATAAACTCGTGAGTAGACTGCAGAAGAAGATGATCCTTGTCACAAGGGAACGCGATAGTTACAGACAGCAACTGGATTTGTATGAAAAGGAGATCACTGTGGATAGTAACAGCGCGATAACCGAGCGAATACCCGCTCTGGAACGCACCATTGACGCTTATAGGTATGTTCATTATGATGAATAATTAATAGACTACTTCTTCCAGAGCAAGTAATGATATTGTTATAAAAATACCGTGAATTGTACCAAGTTATACAATTGCAGGGAACTAGTTGCCAAATTGGAGTCTGATCTCCTGGCAGTGGAAGGCCACAACCAACTGGACGAGTGTAATAAATTGCAGAAGGAGATTGACCGATTGAAAGGTGAACTGGAACATCGTGCATTGAAAGGTGACTTCAACTGTAACGCTAGGGTGTTGCATTTCGCAATGAATCCGGCCGCCATTGCTGAAAAGCAGGCGGAAGAGAAGCAGATGGCGTTGATACGAGAAGTCGAAGAGCTAAGGGCCAAAGTTGCCCTAGGTGGAACCTCGGCAATAGCGCCAACGTCTTCTCTCCAAACGCAAGGTAACTTTTTCTTTCTTCTCGTTTTGATTTTATATGCATTTCACATACAAAATTGAAAAATCTTCAGAAATAGCGGAACTTAAACAGACCCACGAGATTAAGATAGCTCGGCTCAAGGAGGCTTTTAAGGCTTCATCTCAAGAGTACCGGCAAGCCTGCTACCAACTGTTCGGCTGGCGAGTAGACAGGACGAAGGAGGGTCGTTACAAATTGTCTAGTCAGTACGCAGAGTCCTCCGAAGATTTTCTCTTCTTCCACATTGGCGAAGATGGCGTCGATCTTTTAGAAACAGCGTTCTCTGCGACCTTGGGGACTTTGGTCGAGCAGCACTTGCAACGACAACACAGCGTCCCCATGTTCCTCAACGCTGTGCAATCGGACTTATTCAATCAGCAAACCATGACAAATGTGATGAGCTAATCTGGAACACAATCAGAAACACATTCTCATTCCTGTATCCTTGGAAGAGAAAACTTAGAGCGCAACATAACGCCATGATAGCTGCTCTGTTTTCTATGTGATCGAAAGAAAAGTAATACCGTTTTTTATTATTCAAATTCATCAATGAGAGATTCATCGGTTTTGTGCACGGACATTCAGTGATCGCGTGTTCTAGATATAAAAAAGCCATCGACGTAATGAACTCAAGTTACTCCTTAGTATGTATTTTCTTCTTGTCTTTGGTAATCAATAAACTGCCATATTGTCTCTCATTTAATATTCTTTCTCCTTTGTGCTTGACGCATCCAGCACGAAGTTCTACTGTTAATTAACACGCTCGGAGGGTGTACATAGACTGCAGCCTAATTTCGCGTCAGTGCACAGACAAGGCCGAATCGTTACGCCCTCCTTTCCGCATTAGTTGCCCCTTTCGAATCAAACACCATGTTCAACGGAGCGTTGCTAATTCAGAAACTGCACTATCGTTACTCGCTTTACTTATTACGGAAACCAACGGAACAGCCAGCGAAATTATTTGTAATAACGCGGTTACGCTGCGTTCCGGGTCAACCATAATACGGTTTTAACCGGTCTTCCCAGTCCTAACACGCGATTTCCAGATAATCTTCATTTTTCAAGGTTTACGCAAGCAACTATTGCTGATATCATCCCCTATTTCATGTCTCTAATATGTAGAGACCGGCTGATTGTCTTTATCATGAAACATTTGAAAATTATTTAACAATAATTGAATGTAAAGAATTAGGGCGAACATTCACAAATTAACATAAATAAACCGTATGCTACATTGAAAATAATTCACTTTTATTTAAGTCTAAATTCAGAGAAAAATTTGTTATTTTGTACAAACCAGATTCTGACTCTGAGTGCTACTATTATAGACACAGCATTAAGTGTTCGAAAATGATCAAACAAATATGAACATAGAGTTCAAATATTGTTTAACATACCATATAAAAATCTCGTTTTCTTTTTAGACTTTCTGATTTCAAACTGTGCCCGTTCGAGACTGACGATGTAACCGCATGTTACTCGTCATTTCTCCACAGAGACCGAAGACAATTAAAGCAACGTTCTGCTTTTTGGTCAAATTATCAGGGCAAAATTAATAAATATCCTTCACAGAGGATGTACAGGTTTCCTTCCAAAAATCCCAACAGGTTTCGAGGCAACTTTGATTAAACAAATTCCTTCTACCTCGATTTCCCCTTTGGAGGTGTATGCGGCTGTTCATAGAGTAAACAATAATTCAGGGAAAATGAGTAAATTCTCAAAGAGCTGGCGGAAGCGCAGGGAAACAGAGCACCGAGTCCGTGTAGGTTAACAAAGCGATTCTTTCGCGGGAGTTCGGAGTTTCGTGTGCTGATGAAATTGGACACGAGATTAATGCCGTCTATCTTGGCCTCGGCCTTATCCTGCAGGTGCAGAGGGAAGTTGAAGTTCTCCGGGAAACCCCTATGTTACAGCGCGCGACGATACTGTTTCCTGTGTTACGTGGTGGATCTCTGCGATGGTCAAACATTGGCATGGGTGCAACAGCGTTAATAATCGAAAAGTAAGAAAAATTACATGTATTCTTTTTCACTTATGTCTTATTAACAAAAGGTATGAATCTTCCAGCTATTTGTAATTTATATTAAAAATAGTTCAGCTGATTTGATACACCATGCTATTTAAAGTCATGCTATTTTAGAGTGCAACTCCTTGCTTAATCGTTTTAGCATTGCATAAAGTACGTCTATGTACTTAATTAAATAAAATATATTTAATCAAATATTTTAAGTAACACAGTATCTAAATTTTCATATATTCTTTTTAAACCCTAATTATATGAAAAATAGAGAATTGTGACAACTTAAAGAGAAGTGGATTATCTTATATATAAAATATGTTATCTTATATATTTTATATATAAAGAAATATAAATAAAATATATTATCTTATATATTTTATATATAAAAAAATATAAATAAAATATATTATTTTATATATAAAATTATATTATGTATAATATATACAAATAGAAAATACTTAAGAAATTGGAAGCTCGGTTGAAATACTCTTACCATGGCGGATTTCAAACATAAAATGCTTAATTAAATTCAAGCAGCATCTAGTTTGGCGTCCGGCAGCGCAAGATGTGGCTATTAATTGCGGCTAACACGTCTCGCAAATCATCCCGCCTTGTGTTTCTTATTATCGGAAAAAATCCGGGGCATTTTCGAACAGCGCAGCCTTAATTTTGATACATTATTCCGGGCGTGCAGTGTCTCGTTCGAATGAAATCCTGTACGCCGACGGAGTCTAGTTACTCAACGCTCATGGCTGATGCGGCTTGTCCTTGTTTCCTTAATATTCGAGCCCGAAGTCCTTTTTTTCTTTTGCCCCGAATACTTTCGAGCGTAATACCCCACGGGATTATTCTACAATTTTCCCTTGGCCGCGCCCGCCTTTCCGGCGAGGGTTGCCGCGCCTCTCCTCCCTCGCGCCGGCGAAATTAAAAGCATCGAGAGCACAGTGAAAAGAAGGTAATCCCGGCCTCGTCTTAATTAGATCACACGGCGATGCGAACGTAAACGGGATGGCGCGGGGACCGGGTCTGATCGGCGCTCTTTTCGCGTTTCTTTCGGTCGCGCCGCTCAGGTTTCAACACACCCACTCAAACGTGTCCTGCTTTTCACGCGTTTGCGACCATGGCAAATTTGTAAAATGCAATGCAAATTACTGTGGAAGGCTTACGAAGGAGGGAGGAGGTTCTTACTTACAGGGGATGATCCCCAAACCGGAAATTCAACAAATTCTGAAACTTTGGGGATATGTGGAATATACATACGTAGATATGTATTATGGATCATTTTTCTTGCATAAACTCACTCCAAGGAGCGGAAATTAACCCGCAAATGTTCGGCTATTTTTTATTTCATTGCTATAATTCGCGAACTGTGATCTTTACGCTTGAGGAATACGTTCTCGACATCCAAGAAAAGATCCATGGTGAATTAATCATCTTCGTAATCGTTGGGCGTGGCCATGTCCGTGATCTGCTGGTCTTGGAACTGCTTCCAATATGCCCCTAATGTGGACAGTGTGGTCTGAAGAATGTCCCTGGTGACGTTGACCGCTTCCATTTTCTCGAGATTCTCACTAGTTCGCGAGATAAGGTCCAGTAGCGTGTATTGATGGGCGACGAGAATGTCCATGATGAGATGATGTGAGACACAGCACGAATGAGAATGAATGAGTGAAAGGATTCATATCCTTTGGAATCGATAAAGAATCGAAGAGAGAAACGGATTCGAAAAGTATCGGAGAATAAGTGGAAATGAGTCGGAAAAAACCGGCTCGAAGGACCAACGAGGATCAATCAGGAACCAACGCCCATGTTCAAGTCACCACGATCCAAGGTCGCCGAGTCTCTTCAGAAAATCGGGGATAAAAATCACTCTAGTTTAGAAAAAAGAAAAGAGAAAATTATATAATAGAAGTAGAATAGAATATATTTTTTTATAACTTTTCAACTCAATTTTTTATAAGACTTATGTTGCGCGAAAATTCGATGTTACTTTATATATTTTTTTTAATTACGTAATCAACGTTTTATACTAAATCGGAAGTTTTTTATATTTTGTCATTTGTACACTCTACTTTAATATACCGTGAAGTATTTTTTCCCTTCAATATACATATATTCATTGAAATATATGGCGTAGAAAATATTCGAAACGGTTGCATCAATTTTCAATACAGCAAAATTTGTCAATATTGAACGATTTTTATGAAAAACAAAATAGCATCGTATAAAAGTTCCATCTCCCAGTATCCGTGATACATCCAGGACAAGAAAAATTGCTACGCTAATCAAGATTATTAAATTTCAATATCAGAGCTTCTCATCTTTTATATAAAACAAAATGGCACCGCGCAAAGGCCCAGTTCCCAGTTTCCATAATATATTAAGTACATTGAAAATTGCTACATTAATCAAGATCATTAAATTCGAATGTCAAAGCTTGTCGTCGTTGAATGTTCCAGCGAAATAAACTGGAGAAGGCTCTGCTAAGGACAAGGTTCTCCTCCTCTTCTGGAGGACAAGGGTCGAAACACACTTGCGTGCATGCCAGACTCTGTCGTGCTCCAGCATGTTATGCCAACAGTATAGCGTGAACACTCTAATGTAACAATATTGAATGAAAGAATATTTACAATATAATGAAAGAATATTTACAATATAATGAAAGAATATTTACAATATAATGAAAGAATATTTCGGCCTTGGAGCACGACCGTGCCTGGCACGTAAGCGTGTTTCGACCCTTACCCCTGCGAGGTTGAACTAGAACAACGTCTCTCCTGAAATATTTAAGGGCGTTTCGTTTCGCGACGATGCTCGGCGACTCTGTTTGATTATTTAGTAGTGGCCGCGCGATAATAAACACGCGGGGCACGTACACCAGGAACAAGTGTATCCGCGCACTCAATTCCGTGTCTCATAAGCTGAGTCGAGTGACTCAGCCGCTAATGAAGACCACCGGGCCGCCCTCCGGTTCGCCGCGGACAATGCAATTGGAATCGGTCTTTGGGGATCCGCCGGTTCCTTTTCCAGACACGTAGGGTTACGGGACCGGAGTAACGGATCCCCGGGGACAGCTAGCGATCCTCCATCGCCGGCGTGCTCCATCGTCGCGGCTTTCCCACCTCGATAAGAATTCGAAAAGTCCTCCCTGCCGCCCCTCGGCTCAACCATGCTTTCGACGGCTCGTTCGGCGGGGAGAAATTACGACATAATTGAGACGGATGATTTCCCACCCTTCGTGGACCGAGCTCGGCTTTGCTCATACGCGCGATTCGCTTCAATCGCTTGAAATCGTGAGATCTGTGCTCATAATTGCTCGAACAATCTTCAATATTTGCAAAATAAGGCAGTTTCATGGGATATTTGTTAAATAAGCGGTGATATTGGATGAAAGATCATTTATTTGATGTATTCCTGTTCTTCTCTTTCGGCACTGCTTGGAACGATTTTAGTCCACAATGATTTTGTTACCGGTTTTGCTGTAATATCGTTTTCTTTAATTGAACGTGAATCTCGAATAAGGACAAATGCAAGTAGCAAAATTAAAAAAAGGCATTTTAGTCGTCGTCCAGTAGATTAGTCGCTTTTGTGGCCCACTGTATGTATATTTCATTAGAACAATCAATATATCAGCTCTGGAGACGACAGTGATACATTCTATTTGAATACAGTAATGTCTCTCT